ATTCAAAGTTCGGCCCGGCCGAACTTACTGCTTTTTTACTTGTTTAATTGAAGTTCGTAATGGATACTACAGCCTATGACAGAAAATTGTCTGGGCAGGTTCATTTATAACCCCCATGGTACTTCCCTATATTCGGGATTTTGATAATTTTAGCTACATTATAAACATATTTTTTTCAAGTTTTGCATTTGAATATTGTAATAGCTTGTGACAAAAGTTGCCTATTCTGGTCCAAGTCGTTGTATAGGCCCTAATATACGGCTACTTTCGGTATTTTTAAGATTTTAACAGAATTTTTAACGAATTAACGGATTTTATTTTTTTGAGAATTGTTAAATGAGTTCCAAATGGTGGAGGGTATTCAAAGTTCGGCCCGGCCGAACTTACAGCTTTTTTACTTGTTAATAACAATATTTTTTAACACTTCATATTTGTAATTTTTATAATTTGTTATGTTCATTTGCTACTGCCATGAAAGTTCACGGATATGTTTAACATGTCCGTCTGTGGAAATCACTCTATCTTCCGAACGAAATGAAGTAGATTGATAAAATTTTACTTAAATTAATATTATGTCTTTTGATGACTTTAGCGACATTATTTACCGGAATTATTTCAAATTTGGTATTTGAAGTTCTCAATGAATACTACAGACTAAGACGGAAAATCGTTTGTGCAGGTTCACGTCTTCGTATAGCCCCCATATAACGGTACCTCCCGATATTCGGTATTTTGATGATTTTAGCGACATTATTCACCGGAATTGTTTCAAATTTTGTATTTAAGGGTCGAAATGGATACTACAGCCTAAGACAGAAAATTGTCTGTGCAGGTCCACGTCTTCGTATAGCCCCATATAACGGTACCTCCCTATATTCGGTATTTTGATGATTTTAGCGACATTATTCACGAGAATAGTTTCAAATTCCATTTCCATATAACGGTACCTCCCTATATTCAGTATTTTGATGATTTTAGCGACATTATTCATGAGAATAGTTACAAATTTGGTATTTGAAATTTGTAATGGATACTATAGCCTATGACAGAAAATTGTCTGTGCAGTCCCACGTCTTCGTATAGCCCCCATATAACGGTACCTCCCAATACTCGGCCATATTCCGTACTTTTAAGATTTTAACAGAATTTTTAACGGAGTTTATGTTTTGAAAATTTCCAAATACTATTTATATTTTCTTATATCCCCCGCCATAGTATGGAGGGTATATTATGTTTGTCATTCTGTTTGTATCACCTCGAAATACACATTTTAGACCCCACAAAGTGTATATATTCTTGATAGGCATAAAATTCTATGTCGATTTAGCGATGTCCGTCCGTCTACCCGTCTGTGAAAATCACATTAGCATCCGAACGAATTGAAGTAGATTGATAAAATTTTACTCAAACGTATGTAATGTCTGCAGAACTTTTGGTAGTGAAAATGGGCCATGTAGGCTACCCTCTTCGTATGGCCCCCATATAACGGTACATCCCGATAATCTGTATTTTGATGATTTTAGCGACATTATTCACCGGAATAGTTTCAAATTTGTCATTTGAAGTTCGTAATGTATACTACAGCCTAAGAAAGAAAATTGTCTGTGCAGGTCCACGTCTTCGTAGAGCCCCCACATAACGGTACCTCCAGATATTCGGTTTTATAATGATTTTAGCGAAATTTTACAAATTGTATGGGTACAAGATTATACGGGAGCTAAAGCTAACGAGATAGCAAACTCTCTCGCTAAAACAGGCAGGGAATTAGCAGCAACAAATGTAGACAATCCAGTGTCGCTAAATACATCACTTCTAATGTTAAAGACATGACCAGAAAAAAAAAGAATATTGCAATCCCAATGAGGTAAAAACGAAGAACCTTTTATTACTAGGTAAGAGGAAGATCAGTGAGGTTACAGGCATCCTTACGGGGCAATTGGCCCACAAGCTCATCTGTACAAGATAGTATGTGCAGATAACAGTATATGCAGGGCATGCGGGGAAGATGACTAAACATTGGAACATTTTCCAATTCTTAGGGAACGACTCTATACCAGAACAGAGAATATCCCTGACCAAAAACAAAGGAACTAATTAGGATTGGTGACTCTTTCCGAAACCTAGGTATTCTCTGCCTTACCCCCTGGGAAAAATTACCATCGTTCTGCACTAAAAAACAAACGTTGTTTTTATAAAAACAACAATAAAGGTATTAAGCCTGACCATTTTGCAACATCAAAATGTGTTTATATTTAAAATTTGTTGGACCGAGTTCTATCATTTCTGATGAAAACAAATTTTCCTATTTTTATTGCTGTCGGTTCATAAACTTTGGAAATACCGTGAGGATGCAACTGTTTTGGAATCGGAAGTTAATTTCGTATTATTTGATTCAGTAAAAAATAGCCAGGGATCGTTAACTACATGCCGTAAATGAATGCTGCAGGCGTAACGTTCAAATCGTGGTTAATAGTTCCACGTAATCCTAGCATTACAGTTGATAAGACTTCAGACCAACGATTTTCCGTGTGACACATTATAGATGATTTAAGGGTTCGATGCCAACGTTCAATTTAACAATTGGAATGAGATTGGTACAGCGTAGTGTGAGTGACTCGAACTTCATTTAATTTCGAAATTCTCAATTTTGGAAAATATTTTCTTACCAGCATGCATATACACAAAGGATATGCGCTACGGTAACTATCGGGTTATCTTATTAAGAGAACGATAATCTCCACAGGGGCGCCATGTGCTATCACCATTGGGAACCATGTGTAATGGACTCGCTGCATTATAAATTAAAATTTTTATTTCATTCAAATTTATATTTTGCGATTTTGGGGGTTTTTGTATTAATATTGTGTGTTATTGGATGTTTAACCGGAGGTACTTCAATTGTTTATCTTGAATTAACAGGTGACTTATCTGAAGGCCAAGCTCATCCGTCACCTGGTTGTTTCCCCCTATTTTGAAGGAACAGGGGGACATTTTGTTGCTTTATTTCCAAACTTGTAATAGTACCAGTCGTGGATTGCTTCTTGAAGGGCGATAATTCGATTTGTTCCTGTGCTCACCTCTTATTGAAAGGAAATCAATCTTTGATAACAATTCGGATACTTGCCTTTCGAGAGATTGAAATCGGTCATTGTCGCTTTTTGAAACCACATTTTCTACACCAGAAGCATCCGATTGATCATGAATCTTATCTACCCTAATTGCTAATATGTCAATTGTATCTTCGCTCATCGACGATATTGATATCGTTGTTTGTGGAAGACGTTGGATCCACAATGTTTTCAGCAGCTCTTCAGACAATTTTCCACAGGCCGATTACCGCATTTCTCCCATATGCATGTTTTCCAATAGCTACCGTATCCTTTTTTTCAGTCTTCATGGTTTTCTTAAGAGTTTCAGAGTTTCCATTCACTGATTTGCTGCATTGCATTCCATGGACCCAACTATGAACTGGGATTCCAATTGAATAAACCATAGCCTTGGATTTTGTCGCCAAAATGGTGGAACACGTACACGGATAATTCTAAGCCTACTTGATTTTGATGAATATTCAATGTATAGTACTATACAGGAGCGGAAGTAGTAGACTATACACGATGGTAAGATTCTACGTGGGGTGCAGAAGCGGATCTTGGTACGTGGCAATTTAGTTTCTGATGATTGCCTCTATCTAAATGCAGTGTGGTTTGATGTGGTTGTTGACATGATTGATGCAGATGTTTGCTCTTACATTTCTTGATGATATGCCCACATATCATGTCATCTGAAAAAAAAAAAAAAAAGTCTTCGGAAATAAGCTAAAAATGAAATTTCAAACATGGTCATAACGAACATTCTTACCGATCACGCGGTATAGATAAACACCAACCACAAGTAGACTTTCATTATCTATAAGGCAGTCCCCTTATGGTAGTTGTTTGAACAATTACGCGTGACAGGAAATCTCGCGTGTCTACTCTGCTCTTTAAGCTTAAAAAAACATGTAAAGAAGTAAAAGTAACTCATGAAAATATGTATGTAAGTGACGAAATTCCAGTATTCGGAGGTATTTTAAACTTTTATGTTAGGAAGGGTGGCTAAAATCGTCAAATTTGACCGGACTGCAGGCAAGACAACTCTATGCAAAATTTTAACTTCTTATCGCATCTGTTTTCTAGCGTGATTACAACAGACGGACGGTCCGTCATGACAATCATGTCTAAATCTACTTAGAATTTTACTCTGATCAAGAATATATGTACTTTTTTGTGTCTTAAATGATTATTTCGATGAGTAACAAAGAGTGGGATATAAAAACGAAGAAAACTAATGAAAATGCTATTAAACCCAAGTAAAACTTATTTGTGGCCACAAAAAGAAGATCCAAAGTTAGTAACTATAAAACAATTTATAAAAGGTTTTTGTATGTTCTATATACTTTATTATCGAAATTTATATTTCAATTTTAAGGCGTCGTCTGTATTCCTTTCTGCTAACAAATTTCCATGTGGTATAACTTTCTTCTAACAAATTTCATGGGGGATTTAATGCACAAAAAGTTGCTAATTAGTTTTTTTTAGTAAATCACGCAATCAAATTCAAGAGCAACAATTTTTACTACACAGGCGTGCGCGATTACTAAAAAGTAGCTTGATTGTTTTTAACGAGTGGGAAAAAAAGTATTGCGAAACGTATCGACATCGTTTAACATGAACTTAGAGGCAGTATGCATTCAACTTAATATCATTTATGTTTTTATTGATGGTTTTTCCATTGATCAGTCCTTTTTCTCCCGGATGTCTTGAATTTGTTGGATTACTGAAATACGAGTATATGCAAGTTGAGTATGATTTACTTTTTGATTTCGCAAAGTCGACAATAAAGCATAAATCGAATATTTTATGTAAATATTTTGCGTTGGCATCAACAATAGCATGCGATGATGTCAAATGTCCACCTTGATTTTCACAAAGGAAGTGATGACATAAAATTTGATTGGACGGTTATGTATCGAGAGTTTTTGCACAGTTTTATTTCCCATATTCAGACAAATAAAAAAACGAAAGGATAGAACATTTTGCACGGGGAATTTTTTAATGAGTTTTCAATTGCTAATTAGTCCATGTTTAGGTGAAAGACTTTATTATGATTATCCTGATTGCCATATTGAACATAAAGACTATCGTCTGGCGTTGAGTCCAATGCAAAGTTATTGAGGGCTAAAGTTAAAAGCTCTGATCTGTTTGATAATGCAACAACAACATAGGTGCAGTTTGGAAGAATTTCACAGGCCGAAATTGGACAGGGTGGCTTAAAAACTGCCAATGATTTTCCTGAAAAGAAAGATAGAGATGTATCGTTAATATACTATACAAAGTCTAGTAACAACATGAAATATTTAATAGTATAATAAGGTTTCTCTGGAGAGTAATTTATTTAACCATAAAGCAATTAATTATAAGTCAATCATATATATATATATATATATATATATATATATATATATATATATATATATATATATATATATATATATATATATATATATATATATATATATATATATGACGTATAATAAACTGACGATACAAAATACTTTTAAAAAGCTAAAAAATAAAGTTTTAGAAGTGATTTAATTCGCATACAAATTCGCACAGAGTTATCCTTCGTCTTTTCTAGTAACAGCGTAAGTATTTTCTTACATTGATGCATTCAAATTTATGTACATATTCTTTACAGATTTTGACAGAAGTTTAGGCTAACGAAAGGTGTGTTTAATTAAGTGATTTTTACGGAAATTACACTTATTTAGATCACTTACTTCGCTTCTCCAGATCAATCATCAGCCTCTATGAATATTTTTATACGTACATTCAAATTTCTCGATATCTATTCTCTATATAAAAAAAAGTTAGTTACTACGCTTCTATCACAAGCACGCCTGAACGAATTTGAATATGACATATTTGGCACATATGTGTCGAGTAAAGTTGGTATTAAAAATGAGATATATCGGTCCTCATATAACGGTACCTCCCGATATTCGGCATAGGGTTCTAGCTCCGCCAGCAGAACATTGAATTTCTATGTTCACATTTTCTTATAGCGCACATGCAACGGTACTTTCAGATATTCGGTATTTTCTATTCCACATTTTCCATTAGATTTTGTAACATTTAGTATTTGTACTTCATAATGTGTTCTACAACTGTTGTCAAAACGTTGCCCATATTGGTCAACGGATTTCATATTACGGTACCCATATTCGGAATTTGGTAATCCTGGTCCCACTTGCTTGCGGAAAGCGGTATTTAATTCTGCCAATTGATAACAATCCTTGTAGTATAAAATTGTCTATATAATTCCTCGTTTTGTGTTGGCCCCCATATAACGGCTCCAGCCACTTTATTGAAAACTTTAACTGCGATCTCCTACCGACCTAACTTGTGTTTGTAATTTAAAGCGGAACACGTTTGAAGCCAGATCTTTTTATATAAAAACGTTTCCAGAACAGAACATACCATAGTATTTTTTTGTTGCAAATATTATTGTTTTTATAAAAAAATCGTTTGTTTATTAGCGAAGAACGGTGGTAATGTTTACTAGGGGGTATGACAGGGAATACTTAGGTTTCGGAAATAGCCACCTCATCTGTTATTAAATATTGCACCTTATATTATCATCTAAAGAGACAGACGGGCCGACATATTATTATTACTATATTTTTTCTGGCTTCCCAACAAATCGATGACAAAATAATTTACCCCGATCATATGATTGTAGACATAAACGATGAGCTAACTTTGGCTGTTCTCTCCTCTATGCGCTTAGTGATCAGGTGGAAGAAAACTAAATATCTTGCAGGGAGAGTTCTAAATGTTACGAATTCAAGTTCAACATTTCAAAAGTTGCATAGACTTTATAATATAAATAATTCAGATTTATAATTATTTGGGAAAAATAAATTAATGCCACGTGTCTAAAATTGGTGATCACGTCCTTCAAGCAGTAGGTGTTTATTTCCATTTATACGAACAAAAACAAAAACATCAAACTGTAGATCATATCTACCAATAAAGACAATCTCGCTGCCGCGGCTTCTGCGATATCGTATTTACCAGCGGCTGCCAACTCAGTGTATACATTTTCGTGTTTCTTTATTTTTATGTTTTGGGAGCAGCACATGCCGGAATTCTTGCTCCTGATTCTATTGGTCCGTGCCGGCATTGAAGAAAACCCCGAAAAAGGTTTTGTACGGTTTGTGAAAACTAGACTCACCGTGCCATGGGATGGGTGTATTTTAAGAACTGTTCCGGTCTATCCCGGTTGCGAGATCATAGCGAGAGGGAGTATGTTGCATCGTGCTGTAACAAAGTAGTCCTCAGCTATTCTTCGTCAGAGCATGGAACGCCCCCGCAGTCTCCTGAACCGCAGCACCTAACGCCAAATGTTGCTGATCCAATTCCGGACATGATTCATGCAATTCAATTGCAACGGACTTCGAGATAAAATTTATGAGATGGTAGATTTCATGAATCGGAGGAACATATTGATCGCTGCGGTGCATGAAACCAAGCTCAATGAAAATTGTAGTATACAGCGTTGCAATGGTTAGAACGTATGGAGGAAAGTTCGCACCAAAAGTGGAAGTGGGGGATTAGCGTTCTTCTTACACCAATCTACTCAATACAGACCTATTTCGCTTGACCTAGTCTCTAGTGACCCATACATGGAATGTATGGAGTGGCAGTCATGTGTGGAACTGCTGAGGTAGAGGTACTTAATGTGTATGTCTCGCCAGTTAATACCTGTGAACTGCGTTATTTGCCTAACATAAGCTCGCTCTTGGAAGGCATTAACTGCGTGGTACTAGGGGATTTCAATACCCACCATAAGTTGTAGCATCCCGTCCTAGGTAATGGCCAGAGGAACAGAGCAGATTGACTTCTCCACGTTTTGCACGGTAAATGAGGGTGGTCTCAATGAGGTGACTCTCAACTCAGACCTAATCTCGAACCCTGGGAAAAGGGATGATAAGACTGTAGTCACTTTTAACGACGTAAAGGTGACTGATCCGAGCGATGCGCTGGCCATTTTAATCGCTCACTCACTTCTTTTAACGCCATACTGATCCCAGAGTCAGTGAACTGACTATGTAAGTCAAAAGATTGGTTCAGGAGCACAAACGGAGAAAGTGGCTAGACCATCTGAAGTGTTGCAACATTGGAACTGATAGCAGTAAACTATAGATAAAGTTTCAGGGTTCTAGAGAGACCTAATCTCGAACCGTGGGCAAAGGGAATATAAGATAGCAGTCACATATATATATATATATATATATATATATATATATATATATATATATATATATATACATTTATTTCGGCTACACGATCTCTGGACTTTGGAAAGGTAAGAGTGTCAGCTATAATTTGGTATCAATTTTGTCGACACCCATAAAGGGGGGTTTTATAAAAAATCCAGGTCCAAACTTCCGAACCATGACCACTCTCCATCATGTGACCACTTGTTGGATAGGTATTTTCAAAAGCTTTCAAACGAAAGGGTCCGTCCCCCAAGAAAAAAATATTTTCCCGGAATCAGTGTAAAAATAACTACCTCTGGAAAAAATCAAAGAGTTTTTACTAAACTAGAGTTGTTCCACAATTATTTGCCACGAAACAAAAATTTGACCAATGTGTCCATAATGTGAACACATATGATCAATTATTTTCCTCTTTTTTGGTCAAACATTTATTTGACGATTCAAATGTTTGACTGAACTTGAATGTTTGGAAAAAAATTTTAATATATGGTCCGTTCCTGAACTTCATGAATGTAAATGTTTTTAAAACGATAAGCGATTTTCCCTTTATGATATCGAAAAATTTGCCAAACTAGTAGATTCTTGCAGGTTCTGGAACAGGCCAATAATTGCAATGAATATACACATAAACACAAAACAATACTACCCTACTATGATTTTTTGTACAATGATTTATATGCGTACTTATACGCGTACGAATTTGGATATAGCTCCCATATATATCTTATTTTGATTTCAGGTTAATTGTGTAACATTAGTCCAAATGAAATTAAAGTTTGCACGTATGGTCAAGCCAAGGAGTTAATTTGGTGATAGTGGAATCCGATTCAGATATCGCTCTTATATACATATATTTTCATTCAATTTAAATTTATTGTGCACCAAATATGTAATGTCTGCCCAAATGGAATGGATCCGATTAGACATTTAAATCCCCAACTGACACAATATACCGGCCATAACATTTTTTATAACCTCAGCCATATGGCTGGAGAGGGTATATATCATTTGATAAGGTCAAAAGTGTAGGGCATTGTAAGTCGATCAAGCGATGTCCGTCTGTCTGGCTGGTGCGCACGATAACTCTCGAAGGGAGTATCCGATTTGGTCCAAACTTGGTACATCGTAATATTTTTGTCAAACTTATATCGAATTCGGAGATGGGCAATATCAGTCCACTGCTTCTGGTACACCACCCCCACAAAAGGTAAAAATTTTCATAAAAAATAATTTACCACATTGAAAGAGAATGGATTATCTTATTTTGTTCAAACTTTGCAAATCGGTATATATACGTTACTGCAAGATCAAGTGTGAGAATAGACAGGACCGGACTACTCCTTCTGGTACCTCCCCCACAAAGGGTTCGAATTTTGAATATCTAAAACGCAAATAAACTGCGAAATATACATCGAATTCTCTTTAAATACATACAAATATTTTACCATTATAAAATCTGGTATAAAGATGGAGTATAGCTGAACACTCCTTCTGGTACCTCCCACACAAAGGGGCAAAACGCTCATAAAATGCGAAATTAACATCCGAATTATTCCAAACTTCATTCCAATATTTTTGCCGAAACAACACCTGGCGTGAAGATGGGACATAGCGGATCCAACCTCCGTCACAGAGGGTACAAATTTGGAATATCTAAAAAGCTTATAAAATGCGAAATATACATTGGATTCTCTTCAAATTTCACGCATACTAATATTTTTATCATTATAAAAATTTGCGTAAAGATTGGATATAGCGGACCTCTCCTTCTGGTACCTCGCCCACAAAGGGTCAACACTTTGTATAACCAAAACGCTGATAAAATGCGAAATAAGCATCCAATTATTTTCAATCTTTGCACATTCCAGTATTTGTCCGAAAAGAATTTGAAAAATAATAACTATTATAAAATGTAAGTCCTATCGTCTTCAAATTTTGCACATCCCCATATTTCTACCAACGCAAGATCAGGTTTGAAGAACGGATAGATCGAACTTTTTTCTTATTTAGTGGTCGAACTCCATGAACTATGGAAACAACGACTTATCTACACAAAATATTTCCTGAGCGAACACTGATCAGAACAATGAAAAAATATGTCCCATCCTTAACAAATGAGAGCATTTAAAAATAAATTACGACATTTGAAAATGCAAAATAGAAAAATTTAATGAAATTTTAATAATTTACAGGAAAACTAAAGATTATGAATTCAAAATATAATGTTGAATGGTGTATGTGCATTCAGACGAAAGAAAATTTCGTTCTCTATCTAATCCATGGTATGCATCATGGTAGAAGAATATAGGTAGACGCATCGAAACAGCTGCTGGAACAATGAACTGTCAAACTAATTTTTAAATTGAAAATGTTGAATGAAAATTATTGAAGTTTGTATAAATTGTTGAAAAATTCATATTATAACTACAAACGATTTGCGTTGTATAAGAAAACATTTAAAAATATACCTATTTTTGATAAAACATTTAAAAATTTTTAACATATCAATGTTCCCAAGCGGTGATGCAGTAGTCTATAATATTTCCATTTATTGCTAATCTCCGCTGTCTTTCATAAATTAGGAGGTCACGTTCAATATTTTTATGAGTGGCTCACTGCAGGAAGGTCTACCACAAGTTTTAAAGTAAGCTTCAAGTGCATCTTCAATACTACTTGGTTCGGCAAAAGAGGTTGAATTAGAAAATTCTGATTTGGAAAAATATGTAGTTGTACAATAATTTCCTGGAAAATATATAAAATCTTAAATGGCCGGTCTTCTGTCATACGAAGTGGTCTGCCATTTTTAGTAAACAACTCCACTATAGCATTTTCCACACTATTCCTATCAATTATGCATGAAATTTTTATGCATTTTTATTAACTGACTGTTCATTTTCCATTTGTATGTAGTTTTGATAAATATTAGGGTGTGCAGTTTTTAAGTGTCTTCCTAAATTACCTTCATGTCCGCATAATATTTTATGGCAGTCTCTGTTTCTGCGCATAATTTGTTTATTTTGATTGTCGAAATCAAAGATTTTTAGTGTCTTACAAATATTCAACTGCTAATTGTCATCGTAGATAAATATAGGTAGATTCATTGGTGTAAACAAATGTGAACAATTTAATGTGAACATTGAAAATTCAAAAATGCTATAGTAATACTTTAAAAATAAGTAGATTTTTAAACAATGTTTTGTACAATGTGATTGGTGTCGTTTTTATTATAGTTAAAAAAGTTTAACAAACATACAAATTTTTAATTTAAATTTACATTTTTGACAGTTCATTGTATAACTAGCCTGTTGAATACACTCAGTGTTGCCAGTGTTGTGCAAAAATAAACTTATAATTATGTCTACCATACAACGGAAAAATATAAAAAAATATTATTTAGAATGGCAACTCTAAATACACCAGTCATAATTTCACTCAGCAAACGTTTGGAAACGTTTCCTGGCGATTTGTTCGCAAACAGAACAGATTGGCAACTCACGGTCATAGTACATTAAAGCAAACGTACTGTGTGTGTATTTATGGCATTGAAAACGAAAACGATTGAAAATTTTTTAAAAGTTTGTGACTTCGTGTGAGCGCTACGTTAATCGTTTCGTTTGTTTTCGTTCGCTGCGGAAACATGTACCAAATTTCATTCTATTTGGAGTGATATTACACATTTGGTGCATAATAAAACAAAATTCGAATGCAGATATATGTGGGAGCTATTATCTAAATCAGAGCCGATTTTCACAAGAGTTCAATAGGATTCGTCCTTGGGTCGAACAAATGATTTGTGTAAAATTTCATTTCAATCGGACAATAAATGCGACCTATGTGTTTGTTTGTAATAATACATGAACAGAGTCACAGACGGACGGAAAGACTGACGGTCATGCGTAAATCAACTCGGAATGTGATAATATGAATATCACTCAAAGGACGTATTTCTACCTGAAAATAAAAATAATTTTTTATTTGATCTATAAAAAAATAATTATTGTAAACGTGTATACTCCCTTATTGTAAAAGTGTATACTCCCTTATGTGCGACCCTTATAAACCGAAAATCAAACACCCGTGCGAACATGGTGATATGTTTCCTTCAATAGCGCACAGATTATAATCATCTCTCATGTATCTCTTCAGTTGTGTTCCAGTACTTTTTTAGTAGTAAAACTAGCAGAAGAGAGAACAGTTCGAAATGTCATTCTCATTTAGGTTTGCTCAAAAAATAAGGGAACGGAAAATTAGCAGAAATGCGATAAAATGTCAAAATTCAAAATTCCAAAAGTAAACAGCCTAAATCGGACTGGTGAAACCTTACTGAAAAGAGCGCCAACATTTAAAAAATGAGTATTGAAGACGATAGGTTAAAATTAATAATTTATAATAATAATTACTAATCTGATTCCTCATTCAGCCAGTCCTCTTCACTGCTGGAATCATCCAAAAGTGAATACATCAGTTACTCCATATTTTCTCTTTTTGTTTTTTGCACGACAAATATTAGTTTTTCCTTTAGTTTTCAAGTTGATCATTTTCTTTATTGAAATGTATCAATACATTTTTCAACCTTGTTAGCCCTGCCAATTAAATGTCAAATTTACAATATGCACATTTCTGCTCGGCCAAATTCATGTAGCTAAAACAAGCAGAAATGTGCACCACTCAGCGCCATTTTTTTCTCGAGAGAGCGGCAAGTTTTGCTAGTTTTTGGAGTACGGGAACGCGTTGTAGCAGAATTAGTGCTAATTAGTACTAATTTGCAGGTTCTGGAACACAACTTTCTATGCTTTCAAATGTATTGTATACACAACTTCGTACAACCGGGCCACAAACAATACAATCTTGAATACAACCTCTCCAAGCTGTACAACCAGTTGCTTCGTATGTGGCTTGCTTTATGGAAAAAGTTGTGTGTGTGTAACTTCGGCAAAAACTAAAAGCTGAAGTTAGTTGACGAATATTTAGTCCGTACCAGAATTGCAAGAATATAATAGTTTTGCTACGATTCCCTTTATGATGTCGGAAAAATTGCAAAACTAGTAGATTCTTGCAGGTTCTGGAACAGAAAAATGTTAATGCTTAAGTCATGTCCTGACGAAATTAAAATAATGGATACGAGGAATCACTATCCGAGTCGATTTAAGGATATCTGTCCGTCCATCTATCTGCCCACGCATTTTGTGGACAAAGTACAGGTCGCATTTATTGCCCGTCATTCATTTATTTGGCCCAAGGACGAACGCTATTGAAATTGGTGAAATCGGATCAGATTTAGATGTAGACTTCAGTGGTATCTTTATTCGTTTTCAGGTTTATAGTGCACCAAATGTGTAATATTAGCCGAAGTGAAATTAAAAGAAGTATAAGTCGCTTTTCCCGAAAGTTGAATACCCTCAGACTATGTCTTTTCATTAAAATATTTTTTGACATGATTTATGATCATTCAAAATGATACCCCATTATGGGAGAGGGGGTGAGTTCCAAAGGAGTGGGCCAATATTGTATATTTTGTGTCTGACCTAAGTCTGATATAAATATCACAACCAGATTTGGACCATATCGACTACTTCCTTCACTTTATGTATGTGATAATAAGATGTCACAATTTTTGAAGAAGGTTGAAATGTGTGTGTGGACCGAAGATGACCGAAGTATTCATCTTATGCTGATAAAAATATTGGAATGTGTGAAAGTTGAAGAGAATCGGATACTTATTTCGCATTTTAAGAGCGTTTCGCTATTCAAAATGTAGACCCTTAAAGGTGGAGGTACCACCTCCGAACTCGATCTATATTTTATAATAATATGACTATATACCAAGTTTGGACCAAATCGGATACTCTATTCAAAAGTTATCTTGCGCACAAATCAACCAAATATACATTTTTAGAGATGGGCAATATCGACCCACTCCTTCTGGAAGAAAACGGGTTATGTGATTTGGTTAGAACTTTGCAAATCCTAATATTTGCATTACCGCAACGTTTGGTGCGAGAGGGGATAAGATGGGACCACTCCTTCTAGTACATCCCCCACAAAAGGTCCAAATTTGGAATATTTAAAACACTCATAAAATGCGAAATGTGCCTCACATTCTCTTTAAATTTCACACCTAATAATATTTTAACCATTACAAGATATGGTGTGAAGATGGATATAGGGAACTACTACTTCTGGTAACTCCCCCACAGTGGGTCAAAATTTTGAATGATAAATCGCTCATAAAATGCGAAGTAAGCATCATCCAATTACTTTCAAACTTCGTACATCTTAATATTTCTACAAAAAGATCTTGTGTGAAGATGGGATATATCGGCCCACTCCTTCTTGTGCCTCCCCCACAAAGGTCAGGATTTGGAGTATCTAAACCGCTTATAAAATTCGAAATGTTCATCGCATTGTCCTTAAATTAACCATTAAAAGATATGGTGTGAAAATTGGATATACCGGTTCACACTTTTTGGTACCTTCGCTCAAAAATGGGAAGAAAGTATCCGATTATTTTCAAACTTCGCATATCCCAATATTTCTATCAACCAAGTTCAGATGTGAATATGAAATATATCGGCCCACTCCTTCTAATACCTCCCCCTACGAAGGGACTATATATATAGACAATAGGACTCTTATCTCACATTTTGAAAATATAGTCCCTTCGTAGGTGGAGGTATTAGAAGGATCAACAAACTGAAACATCAAATGAAGGCATAATAACTGAAGTTGAAAGCGAAACATTTGTTGAAATAGCCATATAGTGGAGAAGCTTCCAATGAACCGAAATAAATAAAATCTATTAATATGTCATTATCACAGTCATTTGATATGAAGGGTACGGGTCTACCATAGCAACTATTATTGATACAAAATTGTGAGTCAAATGAAGTATTTCTGTCTCAACGTAAGTTCAACGAATTGGTGCTTGATAGTTTTAGTATATTTTAGTAATTTAGTATATTTTAGTAATTTTATATAGTGCCCGAACACGGATATTCATTACTTTGTACGCAATTGAAATAACGAAATATCCCTTGAATATTTATCAACCGATAACATGTCTGCTGACAAAATTACTCAATAGAAACAAATACAACTTTTGTTCAAAAATTGATTTCAAAGAATCAACAATTTCTGGCCGCGCTGTTGTCTTAGGTTAACCGCCCTGCGAAGACCTGCAAATTGTTTTCCCTCGATCAATAGAACCACATCGTCAGCATGTGAAATGACTTGTCCCATTTTTTCCAGATATATAAATATAGTATTAGCGACTAGCAACATTAAGTTTTGAAGGAGAGTTATGAGTGGATTCGAGTGTGACATTGTTGTTGTTGTTAATGACTCTACCAATCCGAGAAAAGTTGCAAAGGCGAACCATTCATTTTTTTCTCGATTTGAGCTATGAAAAAATGTATCACTGTCTCAACGGAATTGCCTTTCATATAGGCAAGCTGAGTAGTGCTGATGGCAGTCGAGGTAATAAAGCTCTGATTTCAACGTCAATTAACCTTTCTATGGTTTTTATTAGAAAGAATGAGGAACTACTAGTTCTGAATGAAGTGAATGACTTCTTTTGCTAGCTTTTGGGATGTCAGTCATGGTGACCTCCCTCCACAGTACTGGATTTTGCAATAAAAAAAATCTCCCCAATAATCATTAATATTGCAGCCTAAGCATGTTGTAGCATGGTGGCAATAACACCGTCTGGTCCGGGGTGTTACAGAGCTTGAACGTATCTGATACCCACTTGATTTCGGAGTTGCTTATAAGTCTGTCAGTCCACGTGCAAACGCCCGCTTAATACTTTCTATTGGTATAGTATACTTTGAAATTACTTTTCTGAATTGACTCAGATAGCAGACCCAAGAGTTGCACTTGGCCTTCGAGATCACACTCACTGTTTTAATATGCTTCCCAGTTCATACGTTGTTTGGCCTTGTTGGATCTATTGTAAAATCTTCTGCTATCCCTCCATAAATTGGCTAGATATTTGGACCACCAAACTGGTTGCTAATTTTTGCCTGGGTAGGTAAGTGCATAGAAATTCTCATACCACTTAAGCATTGAGCCCGTTTACGTAGTCGTCAATATCTATGGTTGAGTTTAAGGCCAAATCAACCCAACGGTGTAGCCCCGATATAGCAGAGTCTTAGTCCCAATGCGACTTCCTTGGCTTCGTATTGGGTCTTCGTTACGTCCCGTCACTGTCACCGACAACGTCTCTGCACGTCATAAGTGAGTCGTCCCCGCCCATGTTCAAAATGATATTCCCATGTGGTGCGTCATGACATTCCCTCTATATCATGGTAAGGACTTGTTAACTAAGCCTATTATACATTATCTCACATTTTGAAAATATAGTCCCTTCGTAGGTGGAGGTATTAGAAGGATCAACAAACTGAAACATCAAATGAAGGCATAATAACTGAAGTTGAAAGCGAAACATTTGTTGAAATAGCCATATAGTGGAGAAGCTTCCAATGAACCGAAATAAATAAAATCTATTAATATGTCATTATCACAGTCATTTGATATGAAGGGTACGGGTCTACCATAGCAACTATTATTGATACAAAATTGTGAGTCAAATGAAGTATTTCTGTCTCAACGTAAGTTCAACGAATTGGTGCTTGATAGTTTTAGTATATTTTAGTAATTTAGTATATTTTAGTAATTTTATATAGTGCCCGAACACGGATATTCATTACTTTGTACGCAATTGAAATAACGAAATATCCCTTGAATATTTATCAACCGATAACATGTCTTCTGACAAAATTACTCAATAGAAACAAATACAACTTTTGTTCAAAAATTGATTTCAAAGAATCAACAATTTCTGGCCGCGCTGTTGTCTTAGGTTAACCGCCCTGCGAAGACCTGCAAATTGTTTTCCCTCGATCAATAGAACCACATCGTCAGCATGTGAAATGACTTGTCCCATTTTTTCCAGATATATAAATATAGTATTAGCGACTAGCAACATTAAGTTTTGAAGGAGAGTTATGAGTGGATTCGAGTGTGACACTGTTGTTGTTGTTAATGACTCTACCAATCCGAGAAAAGTTGCAAAGGCGAACCATTCATTTTTTTCTCGATTTGAGCTATGAAAAAATGTATCACTGTCTCAACGGAATTGCCTTTCATATAGGCAAGCTGAGTAGTGCTGATGGCAGTCGAGGTAATAAAGCTCTGATTTCAACGTCAATTAACCTTTCTATGGTTTTTATTAGAAAGAATGAGGAACTACTAGTTCTGAATGAAGTGAATGACTTCTTTTGCTAGCTTTTGGGATGTCAGTCACGGTGACCTCCCTCCACAGTACTGGATTTTGCAATAAAAAAAATCTCCCCAATAATCATTAATATTGCAGCCAAAGCATGTTGTAGCATGGTGGCAATAACACCGTCTGGTCCGGGGGTGTTACAGAGCTTGAACGTATCTGATACCCACTTGATTTCGGAGTTGCTTATAAGTCTGTCAGTCCACGTGCAAACGCCCGCTTAATACTTTCTATTGGTATAGTATACTTTGAAATTACTTTTCTGAATTGACTCAGATAGCAGACCCAAGAGTTGCACTTGGCCTTCGAGATCACACTCACTGTTTTAATACGCTTCCCAGTTCATACGTTGTTTGGCCTTGTTGGATCTATTGTAAAATCTTCTGCTATCCCTCCATAAATTGGCTAGATATTTGGACCACCAAACTGGTTGCTAATTTTTGCCTGGGTAGGTAAGTGCATAGAAATTCTCATACCACTTAAGCATTGAGCCCGTTTACGTAGTCGTCAATATCTATGGTTGAGTTTAAGGCCAAATCAACCCAACGGTGTAGCCCCGATATAGCAGAGTCTTAGTCCCAATGCGACTTCCTTGGCTTCGTATTGGGTCTTCGTTACGTCCCGTCACTGTCACCGACAACGTCTCTGCACGTCATAAGTGAGTCGTCCCCGCCCATGTTCAAAATGATATTCCCATGTGGTGCGTCATGACATTCCCTCTATATCATGGTAAGGACTTGTTAACTAAGCCTATTATACATTGAACCGTCGAGGTATCAGGGAATACAGCCCGTACCCTGACTACAAACCGAGGAACACACAAGCATTAAGGGGTTTGTTAAGTCCGTAGACCAACCCCCCACCCTATAAGTCTCGTGATGCTCAGCAAAATGGCGATTAAAATAGCCAGCGCATCGCTCGGATCAGTCACCTTTACGTCGTTAAATGCGACTGCTATCTTATAATCCCTTTGCCCACGGTTCGAGATGAGGTCTCTCTAGAACCCTGAAACTTTATCTATAGTTTACTCATATAAGTTCCAATGTTGCAACACTTCAGATGGTCTAGCCACTTCTCCGTTTGTGCTCATGAACCAACCTGTTGACTTCCATTGTCAGTTCACTGAGTCTGGGATCAGTATGGCGTTAAAGGAAGTGAGTGAGCGATTAAAGTGGCCAGCGCATCGCTCGGATCAGTCACCTTTACGTCGTTAAAAGTGACTACAGTCTTCTCACCCCTTTTCCCAGGGTTCCAGATTAGGTCTCTCTCGAACCCTGAAACTTTATCCATAGTTTACTCATATCAGCTCCAATGTTGCAACACTTCAGGTGGTTTATCCACATTCTCCGTTTGTGCCCCTGAACCAACCTATTCACTTCCTTTGTCAGTTCACTGACTCTGGGATCAGTATGGTGTTAAAGAAAGTGAGCTTTCCCATGGTTCAAGAAAGTGCGGCGTTCAGATATCATGAAATCGGGCGATCTGTTAATGGAGGAGATTATCGGGTAATGATCTGAGCCAAGGGAACGGGTTGTCAAGTCACGCCATTTATCAGACAGAGTGACACTAATGTTAAAACTGGCAAACTGTGACACTCCCCTCTTGTTGGGTTGAGACCACCCTCATTTACCGTGCAAAACGTGGATAAGTCAATCTGCTCTGTCCCTCTGGCCATTACCTAGGACGGGATGCTACAACTTATGGTGAGCATTGAAATCCCCTAGTACCACGCAGTTAATGCCTTCCAAGAGCGAGTTTATGTTAGGCAAATAACGCAGTTCACAGGTATTAACTGGCGAGACATACACATTAAGTACCTCTACCTCAGCAGTTCCACACATGACTGCCACTCCATACATTCCATGTATGGGTCACTAGAGACTAGCTCAAGCGAAATAGGTCTGTATTGAGTAGAGTGGTGTAAGAAGAACGCTAATCCCCCACTTCCACTTTTGGTGCGAACTTTCCTCCATACGTTCTAACCATTGCAACGCTGTATACTACAATTTTCATTGAGCTTGGTTTCATGCACCGCAGCGATCAATATGTTCCTCCGATTCATGAAATCTACCATCTCATAAATTTTATCTCGAAGTCCGTTACAATTGAATTGCATGAATCATGTCCGGAATTGGATCAGCAACATTTGGCGTTAGGTGCTGCGGTTCAGGAGACTGCGGGGGCGTTCCATGCTCTGACGAAGAATAGCTGAGGACTACTTTGTTACAGCACGATGCAACATACTCCCTCTCGCTATGATCTCGCAACCGGGATAGACCGGAACAGTTCTTAAAATGCACCCATCCTCTGTATCCATTACATGGCACCGAGACTGATCTATGGTGTGTCAAGTTTTCACAAACCGAACAAAACCATTTCAGGGGGTTTCTTCAATGCCGGCACGGACCAATAGAATCAGGAGCAAGAATTTGATATGAAGGGTACTGGTCTACTTTACCAATTATTGTTATTGTACGACTTCAAGTTCAACATTTCAAAAGTTGCATAGGCTTTATAATATAACTAATTCAGATAACTCGATGACATACAATTATTTGGGAAAAATAACTCAGTGTATACATTTTCGTGTTTCTTTATTTTTATGTTTTGGGAGCAGCATATCCCGGAATTCTTGCTCCTGATTCTATTGGTCCGTGCCGGCATTGAAGAAAACCCCTGAAATGGTTTTGTTTGGTTTGTGAAAACTTGGCACACCATAGATCAGTCTCGGTGCCATGTAATGGATACAGAGGATGGGTGCATTTTAAGAACTGTTCCGGTCTATCCCGGTTTCGAGATCATAGCGAGAAGGAGTATGTTGCATCGTTCTGTAACAAAGTAGTCCTCAGCTATTTTTCGTCAGAGCATGGAACGCCCCCGCAGTCTCCTGAACCGCAGCACCTAACGCCAAATGTTGCTGATCCAATTCCGGACATAATTCATGCAATTCAATTGCAACGGACTTCGAGATAAAATTTATGAGATGGTAGATTTCATGAATCGGAGGAACATATTGATCGCTGCGGTGCAGGAAACCAAGCTCAATGAAATTTGTAGTATACAGCGTTGCAATGGTTAGAACGTATGGAGGAAAGTTCGCACCAAAAGTGGAAGTGGGGGATTAGTGTTCTTCTTACACCACTCTACTCAATACAGACCTATTTCGCTTGAGCTAGTCTCTAGTGACCCATACATGGAATGTATGGAGTGGCAGTCATGTGTGGAACTGCTGAGATAGAGGTACTTAATGTGTATGTCTCGCCAGTTAATACCTGTGAACTGCGTTATTTGCCTAACATAAACTCGCTCTTGGAAGGCATTAACTGCGTGGTGCTAGGGGATTTCAATGCCCACCATAAGTTGTAGCATCCCGTCCTAGGTAATGGCCAGAGGGACAGAGCAGATTGACTTATCCACGTTTTGGATAATATATGATATCAAATTATCAACGAGAGCGGATTTTAAAAGCCGTCTGATGAGTTTTATAAAACTAAGCCATTGTATCAAAACAAATTGAATGCGAATACTCCCGGATACCATCAACAAACTGAAACATCAAATGAAGGCATGTTAACGGAAGTTGAAAGCGAAACTTTTGTTGAAATAGCCAGATACTGGAGAAGCTTCCAATGAACCGAAACAAATAAAATGTATTAATATGTCATTATCACAGTCATTTGATATGAAGGCTACTGGTCTACTTTAGCAATTATTGTTATTGTACGACTTCAAGTTCCACATTTCAAAAGTTGAATAGACTTTATAGTATAACTAATTCAGATAACTCGATGACATACAATTATTTGGGAAAAATAAATTAATGCCACGTGTCTAAAATTGGTGATCATGTCCTTCAAGCCATTCAAAATAGCCCGGGATCAGAAAATGTTTGCAGTAGGTGTTTATTTCCATTTATACGAACAGCTGATCCAATTCCGGACATGATTCTTGCAATTCAATTGCAACGGACTTCGAGATAAGATTGATGAGATGGTAGATTTCATGAACCGGAGGAATATATTGATCGCTGCGGTGCAGGAAACCAAGCTCAATGAAAATTGTAGCATACAGCGTTGCAATGGTTAGAAAGTATGGAGGAAAGTTCGCACCAAAAGTGGGGGTGGGGGATTAGCGTTCTTCTTACACCACTCTACTCAATACAGACTTATTTCGCTTGAGCTAGTCTCTAGTGACCCATACATGGAATGTATGGAGTGGCAGTCATGTGTGGAACTGCCGAGGAAGTGGTACTTAATGTGTATGTCTATCCAGTTAATACCTGTGAACTGCGTTATTTGCCTAGCATAAGCTCGCTCTGGGAAGGCATTAACTGCGTTGTACTAGAGGATTTCAATGCCCACCATAAGTTGTAGCATTCCGTCCTAGGTAATGGCCAGAGGGACGGAGCAGATTGACTTCTCCACGTTTTGCACGGTAAATGAGTCTGGTCTCAACCCAATAAGAGGGGAGTGTCACAGTTTGCCAGTTTTAACAGTAGTGTCACCCGGTCTGCTAAATGGCGTGACTTGACAACCCATTCCCTTGGCTCAGATCATTACCCGATAATCTCCTCCATTAATAGATCGCCCGATTTCATGATCTCTGAACGCTGCACTTTATATATATATATATATAAATATATATAACTTTATATATATATATATATATATATATATATATATATATATATATATATATATATATATATATATAAAGTTTGACTGCATAATCGAAAAGCACTTACTGGTATTTGTAGTTTAAAGAGGAACAGGCTTGAATACAGATACTTTTGTATGAAAGTATTTTCTTTACCCTCTGTCCCGCATGGTGAATCGTCATGTTTCATCATACATCTGGTCATCTCTGAAGTAGTTGGTTTTTACGTTCTGCATACCATTCTGTTGAGTCATATGTGGTGTAGTTAACCGCCCTTTTATGCGACATTTCTCTAATCGTGTCAAATTTCCCATTTCCGATAATAATATTCTTTTCCAATATCCGATTGTATCGTCTGAATTATACGACAAGTCAAACTTTCACTCCAGTTTTTGAATCTATTCAAACGTGGCAATACATCCGAATTGTGTCTTAGAAAATATATTTCGCACCACGGTGATTTTTCATCAATTACTTTGTTTAGGTTTCGTCTGCCTATCTTTCTGTTAATATTTTTTAGTATAAAAAGAATTGGACGCATCACTGTTCCCTACCAATTTTCTTGACTCTAAAGTTTTAACACGCATAATTTGTGGTTTTAGTAGTTTATTGCGTGTCTCTAAGCCATATCGAAACGATTCAAATGAATCCGAAATACTATGTAATAGTTAAATTGCTAAAAGT